GAAAGTCTCGATCGCTTGAGTGTTCGCCCCTGCCGAAGAAGAAACGATCTCGATCTTTGAAGCCCAACTTGTCCTTGAGTTCTTGTACTTCGAAAACTTCAAGCACCAGGCTGGCGGCGAAGGGACGATTTGCATCGAGATGTTCCAAGAGGCGGCAAGTTGCAACAGCTGCTTCCTCGTCGGCGAGCCGAGCCCTGGTGTTGTCAACACCGGCTCCTGGCAAGTCGAGCCCAGCAGTGCGAGCAGGTGCTGTCGAATTTGTGGATAGCAGTCCTGAGAAGGCTACGAAGAGCTCGAGCAAGCCCACGATTTTTCTTGATAGGTCCGATCTCAAGATGAAGAAGATGATGCCTGATGGGCAGGTGGAGGTGGCTTCGATGAGGCCAGGCCCGGATGGATTCGTGATCGCCCAGTTCGAAGGTGAAGCAGAGCAAATCACGGAGATCCCCAACTTAAGCTACAACCTGAAGACCGGCAAGAACTTGAAACCAAAGAAAAAACCTGCAGCTGCACTGAAGAAACCTGCAGCACGAAGCGACTGCACAGATGCAGAAAAGCCTGCAGAAGATCCGGGTCAGGCTCTGGTTGGAAGCACAGAGGGCCAGGAAGAGGCTGTGGCTGCTGTGGAAGAGGAGCCGGAGGCGGCTCCTGCAGATAGCCCGCCCTTGCAAGATCGCAAGATCGTGAGTCTGCACTTGGTCAAAGCGACTCTGAAATCCTATATCCAGGCGAAGTTGGAGAATTTGCCCTCCAAGAAAAAAAAGCTTGTCGTGAACTTGGACAAAAGCAAAACCGCGAACTTTCTGAAGATCATGGAGAAAGTGATGACCAGAGCCGGATCAGTTTTGAAGCTTTGCAAGAACACCACCTTTCAGGAACTGAAAGAAGCAATGGTGAAGTACAGGGATGAGCTCGTAGAGGAGGATGCTGCAAGCGACAGCTAGGATTCGCATGATTTTGCACTCGACTCCGCATGCATTTGCTTTTGCCTGCATGCACGTCGGTTTGCATGTTTTGTGTCTTCAGGTATATACGGTAGTTTATCAACAAAATATAGGAGGCCTCCTTATATATAGATCCAGGAGGCCTCCTTGGATCAAGGTATATATAGGAGGCTTCGGTATATATGCATGTATATTATATCTGTATAATAAAATATCATATCATATATATATAGGTATACTGAAGCCTCCTATTATATATATATATATATATATATACTATATACCGATGCCGCCAGGTACTTCCTGGTGGGCTACTCGGCCGGGGCCTCGGTTTCTGCTGTTTCGTGTTCGCTTCTTTTTTTGCTGTCGTTTCAGGCGGTGCAGCAGCATCGCGATCGACATCGTGCTTGAGGAGGCAAGCTAGGTGCATGCCTCCTGCATGGTCGGTCTGTTCGAGCTGCTCCATGCAAGCAATGCAGCATTGCATGCACTGCTCAGCTCATTTTTCTCAAAGTGTTGAGCGAGCGAGCTAGGATATCTCGATTGTTTCGAGGCGATGGGTAATGCCCAAGGATCCCCGCCTTTGAATACCGCTGCACTGAACCGAGTGCTTGGACATGTGCAAGAAATTCTCGATGTTCCTCCTCAGGGTGCAGGATCGGGGCAACCACAGAGTGGTGTGCCGGCGCCACCGCCGGTTATGCCAGCCTCGCCGGTTATGCCAGGAGGTTCGCCGGCTATGCCAGGAGGTTCGCCGCTTATGCCAGGGCCCCTCCGGAGGCTGCAGATCTGCTGAGAATGTGCAGGTTCTGTGGAACAAGGGCCTACTGGAGGTCAGGTATCTGCCTGAATGAAAGATGCCAGGTGTCTTGGCTGCATTTATTTTTTTGTGTTTTTTAGTTTTAAGCCGATAAAACCCTTAAACCCTCAACCCTTAAAGTTTGAAAACCAGCCGTGCATGCAACTAAGTTGTCCTACACCAATGACGAGGACAATGACCTGAACAGGGCTCGGCTATGGGGTGGCAGGAAGGTGCCGAGGGAGACCTACATCTCCAAGGTCGACGAGGTCCGGAAGAGAAAGAAGAATAAGGGTGCCTTGGATCGATCTAAGGAGGACTTGGGTTCTCCTTTTAATGCTATATATGTTAACTCGATCTAGGATCCAGGAGGGTCATAGTGCTCTCCTAGGTCAGAATCGCCAAAAGTGGTGGAACAAGAATAAGCACCGTTTCGTGAAGTCGGAGAAGGATGACCTGAAGAACCAGGCCTGGAAGCACCATGGGGACAAGATCGACGTGGAGGAGGATGACGACGACGAGGAGACGGACCAGGATGGGGATGGTCCGGCTAAGGATCCTAAGGGTCCTGGCGGTGATGGTCCCGGCGGTCCCGATGCATCGGGTACAGGCGGTGCACCGGTGGCGGCGAGCTAGGATCGCAATGCAGCGGCGAGCTGTTCTTCCGAAAAAGGAGTGCCTTGTTGCCTCCTGCCGAGTGTTAGTGCACAGATGTGTGTTTGTGTGTTGTTTGCTTTCGCTGGGAGGTTGGCCTTGGTCGGTCGATCGATGGCCCGGAGCCCAGCAGTCAATTCTTGCAGAAGTGTATAGTTTAACTAGGAGGAGCAGGTAGCTCCTCCTATATATATATATATATATATATACAGATGATATATATATATATACACAGAAAATCAGCTTTGCATCTAGGGCCCTAAGCCATAGCCCCTGGGCCCTAAACCCCTGAACCTTGATCCCCTTGGCTGTGCCAGGTCGACACTCGTGGACTACCTGACCTAGGTTGGTGCTGTGTGCCGCTGTGCTCTTGTGTGTTTTTCCTTGTGGGATCTGCAGTGCAAAGGATTGAAGCATGCATGCATGTGTCTAGGAAGGCAGTGATTAGGAGGTCTACCAGGATCTCCTGTTTGTTGCACCGAGCAAGGCATACATTTTTCTTTCAGTTTGCCGAGGAGGTTGAGGCCTCCTTTTGCCAAGCACGTGCCCTGGTTTCTTATGTTAGGAGGTCGTGGAGATCTCCTCGCACAATTCGATGCATGTTCAACTATATATTAGGAGCAGCCTTGGAGCTCCTGATGTGTCATGCATGTTTATGTATATATATATATATATCACATGAATACATGTGTGTTTGTCTTGCATGGTTTAAGGTTTAGGTACTTTGATTATAGGGTGTGGGCCAGGTGTAGGGGTATATGCAGGAGGTATGAAGCAGGGCGAGGTATATCGGCGGGTATATAGTGCACAGAAATTTAGGGTTTAGGGTTCGGCACAGGTTGGGGGGTCTAGGGTTTATGGTTTGGGGTTTTCAGGGTAGGCCCGGATTAGGGTTTGGGATCTAAGGTTCAATTTTCAAATAAATACATATTATATATATAATATATAATATATAATATATAATATATAATATATAATATATAATATATAACATATAAAATATAAAATATAATATATAATATAATATATAATATATAATATATAATATATAATATATAATATATAAAACATAATATATAATATATAATATATAATATATAATATATAATATATAATATAATATAATGTAATCTATAATATAATATAATATAATATAATATAATATAATATATAATCTAATATATATATATAATGTATAATATAATATAATATACTATTATATATGTATATATAAATTATTTATATACTATACAAGCAGCCAGGGTTTAATTCATTTAACTTCAGAGCCATTTAACTCAATATTTAACTTAAGCGGTTTAGAAGTTAAATAAAAGCTTTGGTAATCATTGGGCGGATTTAACTCGAGTTAAATGAGTTAAAACATTTAACTCACTTAACTCGAGTTAAATTTTTGTCCTTCTCCCAACCCAGCCCCACCCGCCCAGGCGCTTTTGCGCCAACCCCCCCCCCCCCCCCTCCCCCCCATCCAAACTGCCACACCCCGTGCCACACCCACACCCCGCCCACCCATCCCACCCACCAACCCCCACCCACCCCCACCTACCCCCCCAACCACCCCCCCACCCCCAGCCAGCCACCCACCCAGCCACACACCCACCCACCCAGCCACCCACCCACGAATACATATACATATATATATATAATATACATACAACAGGCATATACTCTCAGTGACTCTCAGTTGCCATTATAATATATATATAATATATATATATATATATATATATATTTATATATTTATCTATATATATATATATCTATATATTTATCTATATATATATATATATATATATATATACATATGTGTGTATACATGTTAACAAAAGATAATATGATTATATATATATATATATTATATATATATATATATATATATATATTGTATAGGATATATATTCCTGTACACATATATACGTGCACATATTACAAATATTATATATGAACATATATATATGTATATAGATTATATATATTATATATATATAATATATAATTTATATATTTATATACATATATATATATATATATATATATACATGTATATATAAATGTATATAATATATATATATAGACACACACATGCATATAATATATATATATATATATATATACTAATATACATGCATGTGTCACACGTATATAATGGATGTAAAAACAAACAAACAATATATATTATATTATATTATATTATATTATATTATATTATATTATATTATATTATATTATATTATATTATATTATATGGGGTCGAACTGTGCAATATGTATATAGTATATACATATGTATACATATATATGTCGTATAGACCCGAACCCTGCAAGTTTCACAAAGAATACTTATCCATTTTTAATTGTTCAAGCAACAACAAGCAGAAGGAGCTTCTGCAGCTCCTAGCTTTGTTGCCTATATTTTAATTGAGGAGGCTCCTGTGAATGCCTCCTGGCAGTTGCTGTGTTGCCTGTGCATGCAACATGCAGTCCGATCGCACCTTTGCACTTACTGCTCGGCCTGCTGCAGAGTTTTGGCTGCGAGCTTCGCTGTGCCCTCTGCCCTTAGTTTCCTCAGCTCGTCCCTTGCCAGCCATGGGAAAGCCCAAGAATACTGCCCCCAAGGCCAAGGCCAAGGTGCAGGTGAAGAAGGAGCCCGGCACGTCGCCGACGTCCGCCGACGAAAAGAAAGAGCTGTGCAACTTTTTGACCCAGGTGAAGAACAGCGAGCAGCCAGACAAGGTTGCGGTGTACAAGCACTACTCAAGCCTCGGCCGCTACGACAAGCAGAAGAAAGAGTTGCTGTCGTTGTGGAAGAGCGACAAGTCGTGCAAGTGGTACGGGAGTTGGTGCAAAAAGGTGACTTTCACCGAGAAGGAGGAAGCCGAAGGTCGCACAGGTTTTGGCACCAGGATCCCAGGATGCATTTGGGGCTTCTGCATTTCGTGCTTCTGCCTGTTGTTGGTGTTTCGTTCTGGTTTTTGGAGCATCCAAGGTTCCAAGTTGCCAGCCTGCTGGAGATGCCGGCAGATTCGAAAGAGTTCCAGGCAGTGGAGAAAAGCCTTCTGGCCCAGGACGGAATGGCAGATGATGAGTGGGACGACAAGGATGCCACCCAAATGGCTTTTGCCAAGGCCAAGCTCAAGCGGTTCAACTTGGCCAAGATCGCCGTGACGTTTGGCAAGATCACCACCGACAAGACCTGGAGTGAGTCTGTTGAAGCCAATCGGCAGACTGGCAAGGCCTCAGGCGACCAGCTCTCCAGTGTTCTGGATGCTGTGGGAAGAGCAGGAGGACCCACGGATGTTGGATCCTCCTCGGCGGGGACCGAGCAGGTTAAGACCCCGAAGGATATCATGTTCGAGAAGTACCAGAACCAGGTTGCTGTTTTGTCAACCTCCAAGAGTATCTTTCTTGCTTTCATAACAGGTTTGCATGCATGTTTTTTTGTACATATATATATATATGTATATAGACATGATTTTTTTTTAATATATCGGTCTCAGGTTCCGTGGATCGGGACCTCAACAAGCTCTCGGGTATTGCTGCTCGCCTCCGGCATCGTTCGGATCCAGCCCTCACCAGCAAGGCCGGGGAGCTGAAGAAGTACCATGCCGATCAGATGGCTTACCTCGACGATGCCACAATCTTCGTGGGAGCTGCCGAGGAAGCCTCCAAGGAGGAGATCGGCGAGGAGCAGATGGAGGTCTTGCAGGGCCACTTGGAAAAGATGGGCGAGCTGGCTGTGGCAGTTAAGGACAAGTTGAGAAGGAATACGGCACTCTTGTAGCTAGGCTCCCTGAGCTTTAGGATCGTATGATAGGATGCATGCAGAGCAACAGCCTCGCATGGTCGACCCAGATAGGATATCTTCGATCGCTATACAGAAGTTTTGATCAACCACGGCAGCTTCGCTCGCTCTGCAGTCAAAAAATTCAGGTTTTGTGGTCCGAGTGCAGTGCTTGCATGCATGCTGCACGATCTCAATCTCACACATGCACCTCAGGCGCTTTTTCACGTTTCGAACATGCCATGCTTTAAGCTAGCATGAGGGTCATCGTCGGCCATGTTTCACAAGAGAGAGAAGGAATACCGATCTGCAGGTCTTGCTCCAAGCAAGCGGCTGAAGGCTAACATCGGTGATCTTTTTTTGGCGAACCAGATCTCGGGACAGAGGGCTCAGGAGATCTTCGAGGATGCAGATGCAGCTGGCCTTGCTGAGGCCAAGGATCTTTGCAAGGGCCTGGGCAGCGATTATGCGGTCAAGCTGGGCCGGAACCCGAATGCAGCTCGGGATTTGTCTAGGAGGCTTTTGAAGCGATGTTTATGGCCTCCTGTATACTTCGCTTCTATTCCGGTACTGGATTTGAAGAAGCAGACCGAAACAACAATCGACCTTCCCTTTTTGCTACCCCATGAGCTTATTCGTTGCATGGGCATGCATGCATGCAAAAAGGACTTGCTGCCACGATCCGGCATGTGCGAGGCCAGTTTGGGCCATCTCTTGAAGATGGAGCAAACTTTTGATGCAAATGGTGCCTTAGGAGTTGGCCTCTGGATCGACGGCACTCCTTATTCGTACGATCGATTGTTGAGCCTCGAGTCCCTGGTTCTCAACTTTCCAGGGCTGGGTGAGGCCAACAAAGGCCTCAGGCTTCCGATCACCGTCATTCCCAAGCATTTTTGCATCAAGTTTCGAACTTTCGATTGCATTCTGGGAGTGGTGGCATGGAGCATGCAGCAAGCATGCCTGGGAATCATGCCCAGAAGAAGGCATGATGGCTCAGAGTGGTCGAAGCATGGCTCTGATGCAGCTAGGGCGAGATGGAGTGGTTCCTCCATAGGCCTGCAAGCCTTCTTACTGGAAGTAAGAGGAGACTGGGCAATGCGAAAAGATATTTTTGCTTTTCCCGGCTGGAAGGAAAACACTGGTATTTGTCACGTTTGCCACTGCACGATGGAGACCATGGATCAATTTGATGCTGAGGCTGAGTGGAAGGCTCAGCCTCCCTTGCAGCACTGGGAGCTGATGGACAGGATCATGCTCCGAGGCATGCACATCAGCCAGGTGTTTGGTTGCCCTGGCCTGACTTCGAAGCAAATATTATTTGATTGGCTCCACAATTTCGACCAGGGCATAACCGCAGACTTTTTAGGAAATGTTTTTTATTACATGATTTCAGAACAGGGGTACCTGCCAGGTACCAGCAAGCCTCAAAGGGTGAAAGAGCTGTTCAAAAAACTCCAGCAGTACTACAGCTCACATGGCGACATGAGCACAGACAGTCGGCTCGGAACACTGACTGAAACGATGATCCGCAAGACGACTACAAGCTCGCCGAAACTGCGAGCCAAGGCTGCAGAGGCCCGGGCACTGGTGCCCTTTGTGCTACAGCTAACCAAGGAGGCATTCCCTCCTGGCACATGCAGTGAGAAAGAATCTTGCATGAGAGAAGCTGCCGTGAGATTGCAGGATTGTTATGCCATGCTGCAGAATGACAGGTACAACCAGGATGCCCTTGTGGCATCTTGCACACAGTTTTGCCTTTTGGTGAAAGCTTTGCGAGATCCGGAAGCAAAATTGTGGAAGATAAAGCCGAAACACCATGGTGCCCTCGAGGTCTGCATGCAGGCAGGAAGTCCCAGCCTCACGTGGACTTACAGAGATGAGGACATGGGCGGATATCTTGCAAGCTTGGCTCGATTGAAGGGTGGTTCACACAATCCCAAATCTGTTGCCTTCTCTGTGCTGCAGAGGTGGAGGGCCAAAGGCCACCCACATCTTAATCCCAGCTGATGTGGCAATCGCAGCTCGCCGATCGAGATCAAAAAGGTTTCGTTCTTGCATGCATGCACTTAAGCTTAAGCAGCTAGGAGGCTTTTCAGCCTCCTCTAGGAGGTTAGAACCCATATACCTCCTGCACGGGCTCAGATCGTGCCAAATGCAGCATAGCTTTTTCTGCAAGGAAAGCCTTTTCCAGGAGGTTAAACACCAACCTCCTGCATGTATACACACATATGTTTTTCTGCTGGGTCTATATATATATATATATATATATATATGTGTATATATATGTGCATATATATACACACACATGCAATCAATATATATATATATATATATATATATATATACATGTATATATCTATAACGATATGTTAATACCATAGACCTTAAAATAAGGCTTGTTAAAACACCTTAATTAAGGTATATATGTATATTCCTTAATTAAGGCTTTCGACTCTATTTTAAGGTCTCGTAAAAGCCTTTAAATTAAATAGAGTCTTTTGGAAGCTTTGGGTACGGGAAGCCCGCCACCGCCTGCTCGAGGCGGGCCTCGCCACCTGGGCCGACTTCGAGTGGTCCCTGGACGCCACGGCGCACGTCTCCCCGGACTGCCTGGCTCGGGCGCTGGAGATCATGGAGCGGGCCTGGCCCGAGGGCGAGGAGCACATGGCCAAGCTCGCCGTCAACGCCCTCATCGGGCTGTGGGCTCGCTCCAAGGACGTCTTCTACTCGATGAGGACCAGCAACCACGAAGTGGACGGGCGGGGGTGTCAGTACCAGCAGGTCTTCGTCGACGACCGGGGGAGGAGCCACTACGACCACGTCTACGCCACGGAGCTTTTCAGCAACCACTCCATGAGGCCGGCGCACGACTTCGTCATGGCCTCGGAGCACGTGGAGCTCGCCCGGATCCACCGAGCCCTGCGCGAGGTGCCCTCCCGCTACCTCGTGGCGGTGAAGACGGACTGCCTGGTGTATCAGAACCTGCCGAAGAAGTTTTTGAGCCAGGTGGAGGCCTTGGTGAGGCGGGACTGCACGCCGAAGTATCGCTTCGAGGAGGTGAAGTGTCTGGAGGGACAGTACGGCGAGCCGCGGATGGAAGCCGAGCCGCCGGCGCAGCAGGCCCCGTCTGGCCCACTGCCTGGAGGGCAAGAGCCTGCTCTTGTCAGGCATGCCGGGCACGGGGAAGACGCACCTGGCGAAGCGCATCGTCACGGAGCTCTCAGAGCTCGGGGAGGGCATCGTGCTCATCTCGAAGACGCACTGCTCGGTGCAGAATTTGGGGATGGGGGCGCAGACGGCGGACCGCTGGGCTCGGCGGACCATCCGGGCCGGCCGCTGCTCCCTGGACTGGCTGGTGGTCGAGGAGGTCACGCAGCTCGACGTCGGGCTGTGGGCCGACATCGCGCAGCTCTCGACGAACCGCGACGTGAGGTTCCTGCTCCTGGGAGATTTCAGGCAGCTGCCGGCGGTGCAGGACGCCTTCGGCGGGGCGCCGGTGCTCCGGAGCCTCAAGGAGTCCCAGCTGCTTCACGACCTGGCCGGCGGCTGCGTGCACGAGCTCACCGAGAACCAGAAGAGCGACGAGAAGATATTTTCCTTTCTCGAGTGGTTGAAAGTGGACGAGGCGGAGCAGGTGGAGCTGCGGGACGCCGTGCAGCGGGCCCGGGAGCTCTTTTCGAGGCGCGGGTTGCCGGACACCTGCCTGGTGATCTCGCACGCGCACCGGACCGCCATCAACGACCGGGAGAACCGCAGGCTGGCGCCGTCGGACGCCGTGCTGCTGGAGCACCGCGGTTCGGGGCCGGCGGGGACCAACCAGCCGCAGACCATGCGCGTCTGGCCCGGGCTGCCCTGAGTCTGCTGTTTACCTAATTTTACACTTTGGCTTGATTTACTGTAAACGAAGGATTTAGTGTAAAATGATCAAATTTACGTAAATTTTCTGGTGAGCTAAAAACATGACAAAACACATAAAAACATTATGCAAACACAAACATGGAACTCATATTTGCGGCTGCAAACTTAGACACCACATGTAAAGGATTTAAAAAAATCACCGGCATGAGTTTGTTTTGCTCTGCAATCGCAGACACCACATGTAAAGGATCCACAGCAGAAGTAAGGACTTTTCCGAAAATTCGCAGGCCCAAAGCCATAAACTAACCAAAGAGAATCCATGCAGATTGCTTATAAGATCCACACCAGTATATACGACAACTGTGATTCAAAAGCCCAAACAAAAGACCAGGAGCACCACATATAGCAGAGAGACACTCTTTTTTTTCGCGACAGAAAAGAAAGAAGCTCTCACGATCGCCCAACTTTGCCCCGCAGAAACAAAAGGTGCCTCTCTTTGAGGGCAGCCTTTTTGGAAGCATGCCAGTGCTTCACCCCTGCCAAACAACTCTTCCATAGAATCTGCAGGCGATGCATCGTCGTCTCTCCCTTGTAGCACCAGACCATCGACGGATGAATAAAACTGCTGAGTAGGAGACTATGCAAAACGAAGTGGGTCTTACTTGTGAGATTGAAGAGCTTCTCCCCCGTCCCTTTGTAGTGGGCTTGCAGGCTGCTGTGGAGCTGTGCCATTTGGCAACCGAGCTTGAAAGCCAGGTTTGCTTGCTCCTCAGGTAAAGCCAAGAAGCCGTACCGTGGCCCATAAGCTTCCAATATTTCAGCCAGCTGCAGGTTCAACCGCAAAAAGAGCCGGATTTGCTTGTGTTGATAGATACCCTCGTCCATTTGCTCTTCGAATAGAGCAAGAATTGCACTGTCCAAAGATTGAATATCGGAAGCTCTTCCTCTCATCTTGGGGAATCCTTTTTTTGGTTGTATCATTGTAAGTTTCAGAAGTCGCTGGCGGAATGTGTATCTGGTTTCGTTGTCTCGCTGGTACTTCTTGATGAAGGAGTCGCAGTATTTCAAATTCGCCAAGATACTCCCACCCAAACAATCGTGGACCACGATGCTGAGCACGGAGCCATAAAAAAACTGTATCC